ATAATAACAAGACTAATTCCAATAAATATAATAATAATTCATAATATAATAATAACAAGACTAATCCCAATAAATATAATAATAATTCATAATATAATAATAATAAAACTAATCTCAATAAATATAATAATAATTCATGATATAATAATAATTCTATATAATAATAATAAGACTAATCCCAATAAATATAATAATAATTCTATATAATAATAATAAGACTAGTCCCAATAAATATAATAATAATTCATAATATAATAATAATAAAACTAATCCCAATAAATATAATAATAATTCATAATATAATAATAACAAGACTAATCCCAGTAAATATAATAATAATTCATAATAACAACAAGACTAATAAATATAACAATAATTCATAATACAATAATAATAAGACCATTCCCAATAAAAAATAGAAAATTTACTCATCGTTTTGCAAATATTTCTGTACCGTTTCCAGTCGATTCTGATAAAGATGATAGTATGGGATCCTCGAAAGCAGCAAAGTCACTCGACGGAAGAGTCGATCCACCAGTAGGACTACTACTCTTGTCACAGCCGATGAAGCGGAAAACGCGTTGCACGTTCACGGATGGTTTGACGTTGAGGAGGCGCGTGTCACGGCCAAAGCTGGTAGCAAATCGATTCGTTTTCCAACGGTTTAACCAGTGCATCAGCCCCCTGTTCGACGCGATATAACGACACACGGACGCGATAACGGTTTTAATGAAAAGCGGCGGCTATTTTTACGGCGACCGATCCTGCACGATAAAACGCGCGTGAATATCGAACGAACCACGACTGGAGACAGTTTGTCATTCAAGTTCGTTGCTCTCGGATACGTTATTCAGATCGAAACGTTTCTTCCCAGCTTTCGTTGGTCTTTGTTCGTCAAGCCTCGCCTCTTACTTCGCGCGTTTCTTTTTTTTTTGATCGATCGAGTGAGTACTTTTTTAATTGTAGATAATCGTGTCTCATTGAACAATCAAGGACCAAGCAATTACGACATTGTGTAGGACAATACCTGATCGATTTCTTGAAATTTCGTAAAATCGTGGAATCTGTGTTCTAACACGACGAGAAAGAATTCAGTGAAATGAAACAAACATTTTATCAAAGTAATATCAAACTAATGTTTAGCTAATGATAAATTTATATTATTATTATGTAAATTGGCCGAAGAAAATTGTAACGAGTTAATGGATTAACAAGACGATGTTACCTAACTCTCAAATAGATGACTATTGTAATTAATGTTGGGTTATTAAAATTTGGGATATTTGATTTCATTTTGTGTTTTACATTTTTCACTGTTTTTATCGTTTGTAAACACTGTTACCATTGATCTTCTGTTAACACTGACAAGCCTGTTCTTGAACCAGCTTGGAACTAAATTTACACTCAATCTGCAGCTGATGAAGAAACCAGTTTAATGTTAATATACAAGCGACGAAATTAGCGAATTTAACGATGAAGTTACTCGTACCATAAAAAGTGAAACAGTAAACGATTCCGTTTTCTCGCCGGGCAAGTTTGAAAGCGAAAGCGACATTCTTCAAGCGTGAAATAAAATATGCACGAATCAGTGTACATGTACATGATCTTAATCGATCATTTAGAAAAAATCTAAAGATAGGGACAAAGCATTGATAAATGGAGACGAGTTACGTGTGCTATAGAAATAGAATAAAATCTGTTTAATCGATTTAATTTCATATTGAATATTATTCACAATATTGAAATGATAAATGAGAACTCGAATATCAGAATCAGCTTCAACTTTGATTATTTATATCGATCGAAGCACTTTCAATAATAATTGAACAACGAATGTACAAAGTAGTTATGTTTTTTTCAATTCAGAAATTTACGAATATTCGTAGATATTATATTTGTGAAAATAAACTTTTGTGAATCCATTAATGTCTTAAAATAAACCAAGCCTAAAGTAGACTCTCGTACGATCGAGACCTTAATTTGCAATAAATATTAAGATGTCACATACAGTTGCTCACGAAAATATTCGAATACAGAGAAATTTTATGGGTATATTATGTATGCGCTAAACTTAAAAATTTTGTACTATAGACACAGTATGTAACATAATACTAAGACGACAATCATAATTATATTGGTTTAAGAACAAATCTAGAAATCTATGTAGAAATTACAAGTATAGATATTTATACGATATTTCGGACAAATCACAAAAATATTTGAATAGTGATCCATTATAATCCATCATAATCCATTATATCAATAAGCCACAATATCATCTTCAATATTCATCATATGCTTTAAGTTTATACTGTGTACCGAATTAACACTAATTTTACTAATTGTATATATTGTATATATTTACTAATTATAGTATATATAGTATAGTATATATTGTTTAACCACTTGCCACGTACGTCGAAAATTTTTTTGTCACAAAATTGCAATATTTCCTCAGTTTTAAGTATAACCTATAATTATTATAATATAAATATTAATATTAAATATAATATAACATAATATAATATAGTATAATATAGTATAATATAGCATAATATAGTATAATATAATGTAATATAATATAAATAAATATAATATGAATATTAATTTATAAAAAAATTTTTATACTTAAGCACGACCCAGTTAAAACAAAATAAGAAATTTATTACTTTTCAATAATTTCTATCCGGTGATATCACGGTGAAGCGACGAATTATTGTATACGGTTCGGTCACTCGTTATGGTCCGCAATCAGTTGCCAGCTACGTACAGTTTCAGATTAGCTTCAAATTTCATCGATACAATGTTAATATCAGATCAATTAACAATCAATCGATAATATCTTCGTATCTCGATAGAATGGAATTTTAATAAAAATTCAAAGCGTAAAGATTCTATTCGAGTATATTCATGAGCGGCCATATGTTGTTGCACGAAATCCTACCAAGGATATTGTTATCGACACGCGTCGAAGAAGATATTTCGCAACTTGCGCCGAATCAGGGCGACACATGGCCCGAGGCATTCCCAGTGATTTTCCCCACCGCTTTAGATATTAGCAAAAGTGACATGGGTAAATGGAACAACTTCCTTTCTCCCACCTACAAGTGAACCTTCGAAATGTTACGCAACGCACGGTCCCCGGGCTATTGCCAAAGAGTACAGGTAATCTTTCGTTTCGATGGGACCTTCCGTCTGACCTCGATTTATTCGATCTACTGGGTCGATCAGTACATATACAGTCACATAGCCATCATCTCCTGTTTCTCATTTTTTGCTATTTGACTTCTTTTTTTTTTTTTTTTGTTCGTTCGACCAACGATGATTCGAAAGGACACGCGAATTGATTACTCAAGTTTCAGCGGTGGATTACTTCAGGGGAACTGCGAGCGGTGAGTTGCCCTACTACGGAGTATTAATTATTTTCTTTTTATTATATTATTATTTTATTATTATTTCTAAAATTATTCTAACTAAATTATTTCACATATATATATTATTTCTAAAATTATTCTAACTAAATTATTTCATATATATATATATTTTATTTCATATATACATATATAAAAAAAAAAAATGTTACCATGACGAATATTCTAACTGACAAAAAAAATGTGTTAACATTTTATCACGTGCAGCATTATCTCCTACTGAACATCGCTCGATAGCGATAAATTAGTATCAATGACATCGAGAAATACAACTGAATCAATATTCACTATTCAGTATATTATACTGGATGAATCTGATAACTACGATTTATAACTCCTCTCGCTTCTTGAAATCTACAAAATTAACTAAATATTAGTGTTATGTAATTTTGTTCTTGTGTGTTTTTAACCCTATGCATTTGTAGAAATCTGAATGATTTTCGTAAAATATATAAATGCAGAGAAGTTACGTGTATACTATACTATAACTATGTATATGTACGTATATATAACATATTGTAACTTTTTGCATTTTAATTTCTCTGATGCAGGTTTTAATGTATATTATAACAAATTAAATACTATTTAATATTATATTAAAATGTGAGGATACGAAGAAGGTGTAGTACGTAGCATAATGTAATAATGTACATATAGTATTTTATATATGTATATATAAATAAAAGTAATTAAGAATAGTACAAGTATACTATAGTAGTATACTATATAATATACAGTATATAGTATATTTCATAGTGTGCGTATATATTAATAATAATACTACCATATATAGTATATTATAACTATATTATAATAATACTACATACTACTACTACTATATACAGTGTATTATAATTATATTATATTATACTATAGTATACTATATACAGTGTATTATAATTATATTATACTATACTATAGTATACTATATACAGTGTATTATAATTATATTATACTATACTATAGTATACTATATACAGTGTATTATAATTATATTATACTATACTATAGTATACTATATACAGTGTATTATAATTATATTATACTATACTATAGTATACTATATACAGTGTATTATAATTATATTACATTATACTATAGTATACTATATACAGTGTATTATAATTATGTTATATATTTACAGTATATTATACTTATATCATATATTTATTTATTTAATATACTATAACTTTTCCGTACTTCTTGCGCTTTAATACAGTATATATATTTAGTACACTAAGATATAATAATACAGTAGCATAAAATACAAAGAAACATCAAGATTCCAAGGCAAAAGATTCTCAAAACAAAAAGTCTCGATAAGCTCAAAAATTAAAGTAGATCGATCGATGAGAATCCGCGATTATTTCTTATGTACCGACGGAGCGCAGTCGAAAAAAAATGAACGAATCGCAGGAAACAACAGGTGGAGCGAAAGGTGAAACGAGCTCGCGAGAAGGCGCCACCGGTCAATGGCGATATCTCGAGGAGGCGCTAATTCGCTCGTCCCGTGGGCTCGGTTCGAAGCTCGTCGACCGGCCGCCTGTGCGGCTTTAACTTTTTAAAATGTCGCGGATGGCCGTGACAGGGTCTATTTTTAGCCACGGCGAGATAAGCGCGGCGGGGAGAGAACGGCTGAAAGGAGAGAGACCGGGAATGAGACAGAAAGTGAGGGGAATGCCGTGGATGAGACAGAGACGAGCAGATAGGACCAAGAGTGGGACAGCCAGTAGCGTAACCGGATGGCATTTTAGTAGGCACTTGGAAAAAACACCTGTTTAATTAACTCTCTGCCCGCGCGGTGATCGACGAAACTGAACAACCGTACCGATTTCACTTTCTATATTTCTCCCCGTGCATCGTTTCATTATTCCCCATTAATATTTTGGAATTGTTCTGTTTTAGAAAAACTACTGTATTGCTTGACGATTGTGCCTTCAACAACCGGTTGCATCTATCTGTTGCACGTGTAAGGAGTGCAGACAGACGCGAGTAACATATGGAAACGTTAACCGATTAAACAGCGAGTCGTGGAAATGCTAGTTACATACTAGAGAATCCGTGACAACAGCCAGTTTGGTCGTAGATGAAAGATTGCCAAGCGTTCGCTCGTATGCACATGCATATATATATATATATATATATATATCTTCAGGCGACAAAACGCTTCCACACCGGAGTTACAATTTTCGATTCTTATCCATGCAAATTGCTGGAACATTCGGTTCGACGCGGTACGTATTTCACGCTCCAATTATACAACTGTCGTTATCGAAACCTAAAACTGCTAATCTTCGAAACTGATTCAATTACGTCACTGCGACAGGGGAACGACGGAGTATCGTTGGAATGGAAACGACACCAAAGCCGTGAGAGGGGCGTCGAGGGGAGACGAAAGAGCCAGAGGGAAAGAGAGAAAGAGACGGAATCAAAGAACTAATTATACGTGACGTCACTCGACTGGTTTCAACACAGAGAGTCGAGTGCAACAAGTCGAGACTCGACGAGTCAAGTGGGCCAGAAAAGTCTGTCTCGCTCTTTTTATCTCGTTGCCCGTTTACTTTGCTCGTTTCTTTCGCCTTCTAAGCTGCAGCCCACGGGGACGGAAGCTGCGCACAGGCAGGAAAGAAGGAGAGCGCTGAAAGAGAGTCTTCTTTTTGTTCCAGATGAGGTGGGAGGTGGTAAAAATAGAACTCCCGAACTTTATGGACGGTAAATCACAGTGGTCTCTCGCTAGGCCCGTTGCCATTGCCAACGTCCCGTTCGACTTGGACTGACCAGCTCATTAACCGTAATATAACCAACGGTGACGAATAGGAAATTCAATGTAAGCCTAATTAACTATTAGGAAGCGCGTAAAATGCTAACTGGGAACTGGTTTGGGAACTCTCGAGTTCACGTGGCGTTTTCATATTTCATATTCTTCTTATTTTCTCTTTTTAGGGCTATCTTATATTGGACAGAGGGAAGACAGTTCATGGAACGAATTATACACACATATATGTATATTATATATCATAAAAGTAGTGTTATAATTATGAAAGTAGAAACTAAGAAACTTTGACTTTATCACTTATTGATTTAATCTTTTTGGTACTTGATTTTGATTTCAAATCATGTTATTTTGAATATATAGAAATGAAAAATACTGATTAAGTTTTCCAATTTAAAAGACACGTACATATATTTCACTGGGTATGGAGTGTCAGATATATGTATATGAGTCTCTCAAAGTCAAATTGATCTCCACTTATTAATTACTTAATTTCATCACATAATTTTGGAATTAATATTTGGTTTGTATGATATGTGTATGAATTGAAAAACTCACCATAATATGTAAAATAATGTGACTGACACACTGTTTGGTAAGTGCTTTAACAAAAAGATAGCAAATAGAATTTAGTATTTATATATCAATAGAATGCTTTATAATTTTTCTGGATCGTATGGGTATGTCCTTTTGTAATTTGAAAGATTAAATTATAATAATGTGTAACTATTTTCGCAAAACAATAATAATAACTGGCTCCGTTAAATGATATATTACCGTTGAGTCGTGAACAGAATCCAATTCGTATTTATTTATTTTCTCAACGATCCAAGTCAAAATATTTCAAAAATATATCAAAACATCGTGTTATTTTTATGATATATATCAGACACGTGACGAGAAAAATATAAAGATATGACGTATTTATTGCCGTGTATCACGCCAAATCAAAAATGTTTCAAACCACTTGAAACATCAGAAATCATAAATTTTATTTAAAAAGAAAAAAAAAGAAAAATCAGAAATTATGAGACAAATGCTTGTTTCTAACATTTTTAAAGTAAAATTTATTATTTTTCAATCTTCTAAATCATTTTTCAGATATTCCATTAATTTTGAAAATGATCCAAGTCATTTAAAGTTTTGAAAGCTGCATTTTCTCACGAGTAATACATCAAATTTTATATAGAAAATATTTGCCTCAAGCAAAGATCAAAAGAAACTGTTAACTTTCATAAATGCTATTTATTTTTAATCATTCCTTTCCTGTTTTAAGTTTCTATATTAATATTTTAATTTTGTTATAACAGTTCAATTTAAACAGTTACTTTCTATTTGATTATTAAAAATCTTGGGAATAGTTAAAATACTGAAACCAGAAGTAAATATAAAAAAGAAAGTAAATTATGATTTTTATGTAATTCGTTTATTTTCTTTATTTTTGTTTTCAGCTTCCTTCAGATCTAAGTAATATCTATATCTTCCATAATATATTTTATCGAAATGTCACAATATTATGAAATATACTTCTTCAGAGCAGAATCCTGTTTAATTGGATTCTGCATTTTTCTATTTCCAAGAAAATAAAAATCCCTCACATATATTTTATAACAGTTTTCTTCAAAAACGGAAAAGATAAAAATCAAAAAATTATTTATTTAATCTTTTTTTTTATAATTTCGTTTATACTGATATATTTCTGATGTATTTATACCATCACCTTATTCTTTTATTCTTTTTTAATTAAATTAAATGTATCTCAAGTTTTAATTCTTCCTTTAATTACGAAAATCACATGAAACGTGTCATGATCGTACAAAATAATTTTGTACAAGACAAGGTGTGTAATTGTTATTAAACATTACATAACAATGTTACAATATTATCATAGTCGGACAGTAGGGCATATTTTTGGATAATGGAAGTTCGAATATGGCAGGCTCTAACTGTATTGCTATGTATAGTTTGAACGTTTGCATAGCAAGCTTCTGAGAAATGTGAAAAAAGTAAATGTATTTCCGTAAATGGAAACTTGCCGAAGGCAATTCAACCTGTCGAATGTATCAACGATGGCTTTCGCGAATTCATTGATACAGGATCAATGTGTACTCTCTTGTCTGGATCGTATGAATCGCAATGCAAGAGGTCTCTAAAATGAGAACACTATTCAGAACATATTAATAGATTTTTAAAAAAGATTCGTCCAATGAAAATTGATGAACATTTTTATAGACAGAGCAAAAGGATTCTGATCCTTGAAGTAACGTTAAGTAACTTTTAAAAATTGTCCTTGAACCGATGTTAATAAATCCAATAGATACAAGTTGCCGGCAGGCAACTATGGAATGCTAAAAGATAAATATTTCTGACAGAGACACATTAAAACATGTATCGTTATTTATGTCTCGACGAGTTTTATATAAATCCAGCTTGTACGAAATACTGGCTTTCATGATTATATTTGTGCAATTCGAAAAAGCGCAGGTTTTAAAATAAAGAAGGTGAAAGAAAAATTTAAAATGTACAAATTTAATATTATCACAAATGAATTAATATTATCGCAAAGAAATTTATTTCCTGATCAAGTACATGTTATAATTATGCAAGTACCTGCACAGTCAAATTGAAGAGAGAAACCTCTAACCGCTTATAACCGCGAAAATTGATATCTAAATCTATACTACAAATCTATACGGATTCGCTTCTGCGACATAACGTTCAATATTTCTAAGATAACTATATACGTGATTTATTTGGGGTGTCTTATGGGTTCCTAGATTTTTAGCAAAATCGCAAATCATTTATTATATCATTATTTATATTTTATTTATATTTATATTATATTTATATTTTATTTATATTTATATTATATTTATATTATATTTATATTTATATTATATTTATATTTATATTATATTTATATTTATATTATATTTATATTATATTTATATTATATTTATATTTCATTTAAAATTTTTTCACACTTTAATAAGACAAATAAATATAAGATATTTATATTTTTGAATAAAAAGATTATTAGAATATCGATGTGCTTTTGTTATCTAATTTTGTTATATTTATACATTTCTTTATTTATATTTTATATTATTTGAACACAAAATTAATAACACAATTAATTAATAATTATTTACGTTTAATACAAATTTAATGCAAAAAAACAATCGTACATCAAATTTTAGAGGGTCGTTGTAAATGGGAGATTTCAATCATCAAATCCACGACAAATTTAGTCACGAGAAAAATTGTTCAATGTTTTTACGCGCTATGATCATTTGTAGCGTATTTTCGAGAAGAAGCGTATCTTCACATTCCCATTCGCTACACGATGTATAAAAACATCTCAGAAAAAGATAAACGACGTGTTGTGAAAGTAAACGTTTCACGCTTTAAAACGAACCGTGGTTGCACGATCTTTCTTCACGAAGTTACAACAGTTTAAATATAGACAATATCGGATACACTGATTGTATGTGAAAGAATCATCAGACATTTTAACTTCAATTTGGTAAAAAGTTATCATGTATAAAATAAAGGAAGATAATACAAAATGACAGTATTACATTATTCTTGCCTTTGTTTGCAAGTTTTACAAAATTAACATTAACGTACGTACAATTAATGTAACATACGTGTGATTCTATGTAGAACAATAAAAACAACTAATTAAATTACCGCAGTGTGGTCTCTAATTTCTTTGATAATTAAATGGTAATTAAATTTTAACTTATAATTATTATAATATTATTATAATTGAATTATAATTTTTATTATAACTTTAATTTAACTTTCTTTGGTAAATTAAATTACCAAATTCACTTTATAGCCTCGTACAATACGCGATCGTAAATAATTGCACGTGCAAATGACTCGATGAATAAATCGTCGAGAAAATGTAACCAGAAACCGAGCGGGCCCACTAGGTCCCGATGTCGTCACTGACCATGACGAACGCAGCTATTTTCAGGCCCACTTGCATACCCAGAAGACGTCTCCACGGGGAGGCGAGGATAGCGAAGCCACGTGACTCATACCAACTGGTACCACGTTCTAATAAATAATCACGAACAAGCTGTGCTTACATACAGGCGATCGGCCGAGTCGGTAGTTCAATTATCGCGGCCTAACTCTTAGGGGCACGCAGTTTTAAAGAAAGAAGAAAAAAGAAGAACTCTATTCCTGCTTGGAATTTTTTTTAACATAAAAAATGGAATTAGTAATTACTATGATACTTTAATTATTATAATTAGTAATTCTAATTAACTAGAATTACTAATATTTTACAGTATTATAATGTTCTAGGTATAATATTATAATATATAACTATATATATTATTACAATATTCTATAGAATAGAATTATAATATTTTAATTGTTGTAACGAGTAATTATTAGTTAGTAATAATTAACTAGAATTATTAATATTTTATAGAATTATAATATTACATAGTTATAATATCATAATATTCTATAGAATAGAATTATAATATTACATAGTTATAATATTATAATATTCTATAGAATAGAATTATAATATTTCAATTACTGTAATAAGTAATCATTAGTTAGCAATTCTAATTAACTAGAATTACTAATATTTTATAGAATTATAATGTTCTAGTTGTAATATTATAATATATAACTATATAAAATATTACAATATTCTATAGAATAAAACTACGATATTTTAATTATTGTAATAAGTAATTATTAGTTAATAATAGTTAACTAGAATTACTAATATTTTATAGAAACTTATAATATTCTATAGAATAGAATTGTAATATTTTTAATATTGTAATAAGTAATCATTAGTTAGTAATTCTAATTGACTAGAATTACTAATTTTATAGAATTATAATATTCTAGTTATAATATTATAATATTCTATAGAATAGAATTATAATATTTTATTGCAATAAGTAATCATTAGTTAGTAATTCTAATTAACTAGAATTACTAATATTTTGTAGAATTATAATATTCTAGTTATAATATTACAATATATAATATATAATATTATAATATACAACTACATATAATATTACAATATTCTATAGAATAGAATTATAATATTTTAATTATTGTAATAAGTAATTATTAGTTAGTAATAATTAACTAGAATTACTAATATTTTATAGAATTATAATATTCTAGTTATAATATTATAATATTCTATAGAATAGAATTATAATATTTTAATTATTGTAATAAGTAATCATTAGTTAGTAATTCTAATTATCTAGAATTACTAATATTTTATCGAATTATGATATTCTAGT